GAAAGGTTATTCTATGGTTGAGTACTATTTAATAATAAAATGAATATTAAATAATATAAATGAAACTATAATTTTAAAGGTGAGAAGAGAAAGAAAAAAATAGACAGAAAGGGAAAGAAAGAACGTAAACAAAAGCTCAAGAAATGCAACTTCCAAACGATTTAATGTACACCTCAGGTATACATTTTTGAAATCGAATAGTATAAAAGAATAGAAAAATGTGATAGTATACAGAGTAACTAACTAATATGTACCTTAAAGGTAAAAAAAATTACTTAAAATCAATCCTACGTAAATTAATTTTAGGAAGTTAAATGACAACCGGTTTCGGGATTAGGCCATCATCAGGTCTAAAAATACAGTAATAAGCGCATACAATATTAAAAAAAAATACACGTGTATGATTAAAAAGGCAATTGTAAGAGATACGATATGTGGGAAATAGGATAGAAATTGTACAAGTTGAAAAAGGTTTGCATAAAGAAACTTATAGGCTAACACTATTCATCGCCATATTCTCACATTTATCAACATGTCCCAGTGCAGTGGCGACAGAAGGGGGCACAATAGATCTTTTAGGTCGCAGTGCTTTAACATCCCATTCTGAACATAACATAACATGTCCCACATATGATATTTCTTACCACTACCTTACCCTTGTTGGGGCTCGGTTTTAATCATGCACCTGTATTTTTTTAACCTTTTTATGGGGACGTCCTAGTAATGTTTTGTAAGCGCTTATCACTTAATTTTTAGACCTGATGATGTCCTAAGGACAAAACATTTAACTTAATAAAATTAATTTATATGGGATTGATTTTGAGTTATTGTCTTACTAAAATATAGGGTGTTTCATTAAAAAAAAACAAAAATAGTGGTCATAACCGGGGAGGAGACCGTAAAAGTTACAACGAGTATACCACGAGCAGAATTGTCCCTTTATATGATTTTCGACTTGTTCTTGTATTTTTTCATGAAAGCCTCACTTTTAAAATTATTCAGAGTGGATAATTTTCATTGAAATTCCTGTGTCGGGCAAAGTGCTAATACAATGACGTTGTATCCATTTTTCATCTCTGATAGACGAATCGTCATTTCATTAGTGATATAAGATCACTGAAATGTCATAAATGTTGCATAACAAAAAACTGGTTATTTAGCATTTGTCAGAGAATTCAGTATAGGATTAAATTCAAAATTATTCTTTAAATGTTCTAATTGTGGATTTGTGAAATCAGTAACCACAAATAAAGAAACTTCAAAGATAAATCTACATGTACATCTATTAGCAAAGGACATAACACTTTGCAAGAAAATTTGGTAAAATTGGGTATTTCTTCTTTTGATATTCTTACGTTTTGCATGTTTCTTAATAAAATATGTCACAATTAATGAATTTAGGGGGTAACCATTCAATAATTATATCACTAGAACCTTAATCATATTGCCTTGAACTTGGCTTCGTAGCCCTTAACTGTATCAGGGTCCTACTCTCGACATTAGGACTTAACACGTCTTTGTAAAAGGGCTGAAGAAAACACAATGTTTTCTTAAAACAAATAGTATTTCTATTAGAAAATATGATATTTAATATTCGGAAATTTATGAGTTTTAAGATATAAGCCAAATAACACGTTGTTTAAGACAACAGTCGTACAAACTACAACCACAGTAATTGACTGTTTTGACTAGACTGCTTTACCCGGGAATATTAATTGTAAATCATGCCTCTTCCATTACCTTAAGGGCTAACAATTTCTGTGCAACAAAACAATTCTACAAAATACTTCACAGCTGAACATACACAAATATGGACCAACACTATCTTTAAAACAATTTAGCTTATCAACTGCAATATCTGCGACGCATGTAAACACAATTTATTAAAACCGCGATTTAAAATACAAAAGGACTTTTAATTTTCTACGATGGAGATCCAGAGCCTTCGACCGAAGTCTCAGTGATCAGGAACTGAGGACCGAACCCGATGCAGAGGATCCTCTATTGTGAAAAACGCCCTGTGTGTCTCTTTGAGGTTACCTTTATAACTTCTCCATAGTTTATTGTTATTAAACTAATATTTAATAATAATTAAATAATCAATTTTGTACATGATTGCAACTTAAAACCAATCCGCGACGTAATTAAACAAACTTTTACGTACAGGGTGTTATTTAAATAATTAATTAAAATTTGGAAAAATGTGAATTTATACGAAGCGTGACAATAATATTAAAGTTATAACAAATCGAAGAGCCGGAAGAGGCAGGTATGAATCATACCTACAACAACGGTTCTAAAACAAAACAAGGCTTAGGATGTGGAATATACTTCACATCTTTAAATCTAAACATAAAATGGGCTGTGAGCAGTAATGCCAGTGTAGTTCAAACCGAGCTCATGGGAATTCTCATAGCAACAAAAAAATAACAAGAAATAATATCACTGGAAGGAACATGCCACCTATACAGATAGCAGACATGCTGTACTCCCCCTGGAAAGACCACGAATTTACTCAGGGTTGGTACTAGATTGTCATGAAGCTTTGGCCGAAGTATCCATTAATAATGTGTTCAACTTAAGATAGATCAAAAGTCACGTCAGATTGAAAGGTAATTGTCTTGCTGATTCACTAGCCAAGCAGGCAGCCAACAAAATACTTTTTGGACCTGACGAAATAGGTAGTGACATTCCCTTGTGAAGTTCAAGGAAATATTGAATAAAACAAGAAGCTGCAGGGAGCTTTCATGTTATCCTGACAACACTACAGCAAACAAATACTTGACTATTACTAGATGCCTGATCACAGGCATTCTGACGGGTCACTGCCAAGTAGGGAAGCATCTCCATGTCATGGGGCTGGCAGAATCCGCACTCTGCAAAGGGTGCAAACAAAAAGATGATGCTCACATTTGTTAAATGATTTGTATTTGTTGATAATTGGCTAACACAAGCCGATATAAGAAAGGCACCTCTTGGTAATATTGTCAACTACATTAAATCTGTAGGCTGGCTCACGAGCTATTTAGGAAGATGGAAAATGGGTTAAGTAAGGCCTAAGTGCCGTGGGTTAACCCACCCTCCACACGTTACAGATATAGATGTTAAACTTAACGAAACTGTTGCAATTGAAACATATGCTTCTATTACAAAGAATACAGTTGTTGAATGTGGTTTATTAATCTTTTAAGAAAAATGTTATCGTTTCTTAGGAACTTCACCAGATGGATTGGTAGATGATGCTAAAATTTTTTAGGTAAAGTGTTTTTACTCAGCTCGAGAATTTTCACTATTAAATGCACCAAAACATGTTAAATACTTTTGTTCTACTACTGCTGATGGCAAAAAATTGTTCCTTAGGAAAACCATAACTATTTTTACTAAATGTTTAGCAATGATTTATTTTTTGTAGGATAAATAAGAATTTTTAAAAGGTATATTTATTAAATGTATTTATAATAGAAATAGTTTTTTTAGTTAAAAAAAATATGAAATACCTACTTAGGTACTATTATGGTTTTTAAGCCAATCAGATTTTTACGAATTTATATTTTTTAACAGAAAAAATGTCATTACTAAATACCTGTTGTTTTAATTTCAAAATCCGTTTTTTTTACTTGCCAACCTTCTTAAATATTGTCCTACGATCCAATTTCTACGAAAAACTAATCAACATGCAATTAACATGATACTGCTATTTGGTAAACATCTGTTCACGTTTCTTAATTGATAAAACACATGCATCATTCAGAATGCACCTTTCATTTAATAATTAAATAATTCAAATATTCTGTAAAATGAATAGGTACGTTTGCATAGACCGTATTATTAATAGAAAATTATTTATTTAATCCAGCGAACTTAGTAATACAACTCGATCTGGCAACACGGTAGCGTTGGTGTATGCGGACATCCGAAATTTCTGTTTGAGTAGGAAATTTAGTGCTCTCTGTGAGCAATTTTAGAAAGTACTAATTGAGATGGCAGCACCTCTCAGAGATAAGACTTTGAAAGAGACAATTCAAAATAGTGTTATTGTTTAATTGAATTTTTCACTAAATTTATAAAAAACTTATTAATGTTTCGAGGTCAATGTCTTTAAATATAATTATTGAAGGTATATTCTTTAATATTACATTCATTTTTATAGTTTAAATCTAATTTTTATTAATAATATATATATATTCTTCAATTACGTCATTTCTGCAAGTTCAAAAATTTTCAAAAAATTTATGTAAGTTTCTTAACCAAAACTAATTTATTTTATGAAATAATGATCCCTCTTGATATTTTAGTTTCTTTGTTTTATACTTGTAAAAAAGTAAATTTTCCGATTTTTCTTGAGAACAAATGATACAAACCGGATTAAATTTTGGTAAAATAATACTTAAAGTAGTATATACATTCACAAATTTTTTCAAAAATTTTGAATGTTTATATATTTTTTCCAGGGGTCCATATAAACCTTAAATTGACAAATTGCACTTACAGTAATGGCGGACCGATCCCAATTGCGCTTACACATGTCGTATCACCAGGTTGCCATATCAATGGGTTGCGGCCAAGTAAGAAACGGCAACTCAAACTTTTTAACTTCTTTACAGAGATGAATTATGTTCTACCTCTAAAACTAGTGAACGGAATTTAAAAAATAAATGAATACATTTTAATTAAAAGAACTTGCTGAAATATTTTTGCAGGCAACCCGTCATAACCGTATTTCTTTATCAATAATTATGTATAAAATTGTATTTTGAATAAAACGCAAAACGGTGCAGTTATCACACGGTCGGATCTCGTAGTATTAGGTTAGTTTAGTTAATTTTGAATTAGCCTGGAGTCCAGAAAGCGAACTGAAACGATAATATTTATCAATCAACCTTGTTTGTTTGTCTACAACACAAATTGAAATGTCTAGCAAATACTCATTTAATGTGTATCCGGTAGAAACGTATTCTAGGATTTATCAAATAACTAAATTGAATCTTTTTGTTATTTAGGTTTCCCAACTTGTTACATCCCCCCTTTGCCGTACACCCTATGCAAATACAATGTTTGTGGCTTGTCCAGTTGCGAAGGTCTGAAAGAAAGTGAACTCTACACCGTCCGATGTGATCCAGACTGCACTTTTGGCAACCCGGTAAAAAATGATAATATATAACAAATTTCAAATATTTTGTAAAGAAATTTAAAAAGTTTATTGATATATTAACCAAACAACAGTAAAGAATAACTCAAACTCGTATCAAAAAAAAAAAAAAAAAAAAAAAAAAAATACAAGGGAGCGTTTTCCTTCAAAAAACAACTATTTATCTCGAAGGAGGAAGCATTAGGAATGGGACGACATACTTTAGACTATAAGTCTTACATACATTTTTGTAATCGTCGATTATTGAGAAATTCAAAAATGAAGAGAAAAAAATGTGCTGTCCTATTAAAAAAATAGATAACACGTACACCAAAATGGTGACGTCATAAGTACATAAAATTGCAACCTAAAACAAAAATTGACCTGTAAAAGCATTTTGTCAAAAATATCAATAGAACGAAAAATATCGATTTAATTCAACATATACTCTATTATTAATAAAATCAGTTATAAAGAAATTTTTGTAACATAATAATATAATATTTTTTTAAAAACAACAACACAAACAAGTAAAGAAAAATAAATATTAGTTTGTCGATAAGCGAACAAACGATTGTTTCGAATAGTAAACAAAGTTAAAAACTTTAAAAATTAAAAATGAAACTATAAAGTATATTTTATGAAATGTACTAATTATGTACTAAAATTAATATAAAAAAAATTAAATCTTTTTCGAAAGCGACTTAAAACGATAGTCGTTTTTTATAGATTGAACGTTTTCAGGAATTATGTTATAAAATTTTGGAGCTTGATATACCTATATACAGGGTGTTAAAAAAAAGTGTCACAAAATGAAATGGTGAATAGTATGACCCAAAATAAGCAGAAAAGTCTTATTAAATATATGACCGCAAATTAACGGTTTCGGAGATACGGACCATTTTGTGTTTATAACAATTTTTTATTATTATAAAAAAACAATGATATTTATAAACAATCAATAACAACATAGAGTTAAATGAGATGTTCAAATACTGACGTAGCGCTTCCCTCGCATTGCCATTTGCACGACCGTACATAAAATGCATGTCAGCTAATTCAATATTAGTGTAAACAGGCATAACGAAAATTTATAAAATTATTCACCCACAACAAAATAATAACTGCAAATAGTATCTATGAAAAAACATCGGTAGACTCCGATAAGAAAAGCAAGTTTTTGAGAATGAAAAAAGATAATCAAAAAATGATACAAAACACTCCGTATCTCTGAAACCATTCATTTGCGGACATATGTTTATTAAGACTTTTCTGCATATTTTGGCCCATACTACCCCCCGTTTTATTTTGTGACACTTTTTTTTAACACCCTGTATATATATGATCGTTGAGAAATTGATTTTTGCAATTTCGATATTGAGGAAAGCCGTTTGCGTGTGTTATATGGATGGTTTTGTATGTGAAATACTTGTTTAGTATAATTCATAACAACTTAAAAAAACAATGTATATTTAATAGTTTTGTTTCTTTAAATTATTTTCAAAGACCTTCTCTGAAGAATTTTTAGTGAATGCATTTGTATATTCAATACACCACCCCATCCTAGTAACCCATATCTATTGTGACTTTCGACCAGAGCTTGAAAGAGTATTTTTAATTGTGAGTAGCTGATTAAATTTGATAATTATACTACCAAGATAACGTCAATCCTATTTTTTTTATAGATATACTGGTAATCGAATTAAATTACTGGTTTTGAGCTTGCATTAAATTGTAATTAGATGAAACAAAATGGATTCTATGTATTTTGAGATGATCTTTTCAAAAAAAAAAGGCAAAACAAAATGTAGCTGTTTTTCGAAAGTGCCGAAATTTTGGATTTTGTAAATTTTCAATTTTGCGCAGGCGCATGTCGGAAATAAATTAATATTTTCAAAACACAGTTTACGACATTTAAAAGCTTCGGAAAAATGCTAATTTTCATGTTTATTAAGAAATTTTGATCCGATGCACCGTTCTCGCGGTATGGACGATTGAAATTTGTTTAGTATTTTGAGGTGGGAAGGTAGAAAAATTGAATTTATTAAATGTTCAAACACTAAATTCTTCATAACTTTGGTAAAAATTAAGATATTTACAAAAACAAAAATGGGTTTTGAACTTAAGGAATGTGAAAATTGATTTCCAAAAGAAGGCAAAAAAAATCTAAAAAATTGGGCATATGGCGGAAGGGCAAATTGTACCGCGGGCCTAATTTCATTGTTTGCCTATAACGGCCAAACTATTTAAATTTTTTTAATGCCACTTACAGAGTTTACTCTTGAATATGAAATCTTATGTGTTCGTGAATTTAACCGAAATCGGACTATAATTGGCCAAGATATCAAACGATTAAATACATTTTTTTCCCTAAAAAAAACTAAATTTTTTTTCGAAAGTTTGAAGTGGCACAGAAATGCCAAAAATGCACCCAATGGCTCAAAACTTTTTTTTTGAGTACTTTATTATGTCTAGAATACGATTACATTACCAAAAATTCTGCAAAAATATTTTATTTATTTTTTTGACCGCTGTTCATTGAGTGACGACCAAAAAACACGGTTTTTGAGAAAAGTTGCCTAAAATTGACGATTTTCAGTTTTTTGGTCTGAAAATTTAGCAGACCCAAAATTCATGTCTTCTGAATATGTATACAAAGTTTAAAGTGTGTATGTTTCTTCTAAGTTATAGAATTCTCCCGGGATCCAAAACTCGTGTATACACTGCATTTCTGTAATTTGATTTTTTTGCAATTTCCTGTTTTAAATTTCTTACATACCTAAATTTATTAGGCTTAAAATATATTAAATTGTATTTTACCAACTTGTTATAAGACGTTTTTTGAGTTTTGTGCAAAATACATAAGGACCACTTTGTTTTATCCAATTACAAATTAATGTCGGCTTTGTTCTGTGACTAACCGTACCGAGTCAGCTTGCAATACAGCATTTAACTGTCACTTCGGTGCAATTCGTTTATGCGTGCGTGAGCGGTGAGCGTGATGCCCAAAGAGTAATGTTAACTGATATTTCAGTTAATACATCGATATATAAAACATCGATGGAAAAACATCGAATTTTAAGTCTGATATATCAATGTTTTTTAAACATCGATGTATCGTTGCCATCCCTACTCCCTACAATCATTTGTATTAGTGGAGAAGTATATCACCTTACACATTTTTACAATATTTACGTATATTTCATAAAGGGAGAGCATGGATAAATTTCTTGTAAGGAAACGAAATCCAGAGCCCGAAAATTTTGATAATCGAGGTGAAAGCAGTAATAGTTAACCATGTGTAAATGTTAGCAAATATAAAGATGACTATTTAAAATTTGGAATTTCATGGATATGTGTTCAACACTATCCTCAGCCTAAATGTGTTGTATGTGGAATAACTTAAATCAGGCCATGGTACCCAATAAAATTTAGAGGCATTTGCAAAAACACTACAAACATGTTAAACAAAAACCTGCAGGTTACTTCAAGGGACTTTTACAAGAACAAATAAAAACATCTTGAATAATGCAAAATCGTGTAAAATTTTCTGACTAAGCCTTGATTCAAAGTATGCGAATTAATAGTCAGAAATAAAAAAAGACATACTATTAGTGAAACTTTAATATTACCAACATGCAAAGAAATAGTAAACACCATGTTCGGTCTAGAAGCTGCTGAAAAATAATACTGTGAAAAAAAGAATTCAAGAAATGTCTGTAAATATTGAGGATAGAGTTTGTGAAAAGTTACGGGAGTCTAAAAAGTTTGCAACTCGATAAAAGCACCGACGTAAGTGGTAGATCTTCATTAATATTGGTACACTGGTTTTTGGTATCTCAATTTATTGCAATTCAACTTTAACAATAATTATACAACTGATAATATTAACGTATGTTTATCATAAAACTGACTCCCTGATGTCAGGATCACTGACAAGGGCTATTTGCACCGCTAGTAGTTAAGAAATAAGCGAAGCTTAAAATGACATTTGTAATGGAAAGATGTCACTTTAAGCTTGGCTTATTTTTTAACGATCAGTGGTACAAATGGACCTATATAAGCTTGCGTTAACCTTCTAGAAAGGACGAAGAATTACATTTCTCGAATATTCCCTTTCCTTATTTTCCTCGAACCTTTACTTATGACGACGGCAGCACGCTGCAGGGTGCTGTGTAACATTGCTCCCGTCTCTCTAGTTATTCTCCCCGAATAACTTAATTACTGGGACCTATTAGGAACTTATGGGGAGGATCTGGACCACGGCATGGAGCTATCTTTCCAATGTAAACTACCTTGGATTTACTTCCCGCTAACAGCTGAATGCAGCAGATCGTTGATTTCCCTTAAGGACGGAGTAGGAGCCTTCTTAGTTCCGTTGCGATTTCTGGCAAAGTCCTCCTCGGTGCTTGGGATTGCACAGACATACTGGGTCGCCTCTCTCAAAATGTGTATCTGTGGCACGTCTGTCAAATCTAGCTTCTGCTTTATCGGTATTGGTTTTCAATCATTCCTGAGCGAATCCATAGACCTTTGTACTGCCATTGCATGCATCAGATTTTTCACACCAATCCGCTACATCTTGTCGGCAATTCATCCAATAAAATCTTTCCCAAACTCTTGCCAGTTTTCTTTTATTATCAAAGTGTCCTCTTGATCGACTGCTATGAAGCTACTCCAATACATTTCTGACCTGTGATTTCGGCAGTATTACTTGGCAGACTACATGTACTTCATCAGGGGTCTCCCATTTCCGATGCAATAGGCCATCGTGAAGATGCAGGGAATCTCACTGAGTCCAGTAGCCTTTTATATTTCTACTGTATTTGGCTATCTCTTGCCAAGTAGGTGTGACTTTATTTTTGAGTCATTCTCGGCAACCTTTCAGTCCTTGTCTTTCTTCTGTCCCTTTCTCAGAATTTCAAGGGTGATTTCTTCTGCGTCGCCCTCTGGCTTAATACCAGCATTGTCCTTCTAAACGGGGCCGTCCGAAGAGAATGTATGTGTTGCTA